AGGAGCCGGGAGGTGCTGCGGCGCTCCCCTCTGCGCGGGGAAGGAGTCGCCTGTAGAGCTGGATGCCGTCGGGAGCGGGCGGCGCGGCGTCGGCCTACCCCAGAGGGCAGGCTGAGGGAGACGCGCAGAAGTAATTACCCAGGGAGCGTTATGATGAGAGGGCTCTTGAACACGCAGCGATGGCGGTACCTAACAGCTGGGAACTGAAGCAAGTCAAGATCTATCCAGAAGCGCAGATAACTAATGAGTGTAGTCAGACTTGAGAGCAGCGTTGGTGAAGGTTAGAGAAATGCAGGAGAACTGGAGGTGCTTCAGTCAGTCGACTATCCCTCTGTGTGGTAAACTCCACTCTCACAAGAAGTCATATGCTTGATCTGGAAGGGTACGGGGATACTCTGTGGCTTGTAGTATGTAGAGGGCCTGATTAGATCTTTAGAAATTATCCTTTTAGGTTTTCTTTGGATGAATCTTTGAAGATCTGTATCTCTTAATTTAATCCCACTGTTTATATTAGTGATAGGAAACAATGTATAGACTTTAAAGTTAACTCATTGTTAGCCATCTCCTTCATTTTATGTACATGTACTATTACATAATTTTAAGATTGTTGTTTTACGCTTCTTTTAAATAGTGTTGTATAGAATAGTGTCTACCTCAAGCAGTTGAAGAGTTGGGGGTCTGGAAATATGTTTTCAGAAACACTAAACTTCTCATAGCTGTTATCCGTACCTCCCACTCCCAAGGTATCCAAATGATCAGAAGAAAAACAGAACCCTGCTACCAGAACCTGAGGGGTGTTTTCAGGAGCTATACACATCTCTGTTTTAGCATGTGGAATCTAGTCTGCTCCCACCCCCTCCGTTGAAGAAACACACCTCACTTACTTGGTTAGCACCTTCTGGCAATTAATCTTCATTTGCTCACCATTTAGAGAAAAAGGCCGTGGAGATATATGGAAGCTTGTATGTGAATGCAGGCACTGAAGATGATGGTTTAGTTGCAGAGAGAAGGACACACGCTATGACTGTTTCACGTCTGGAAAGAAGGCTGGACATAGGTCTGCATACTAAAAAAACTGCCCACAGTGGGATGGTTGTTAGTGTAATTACTAACAATTAGCAAATCATGTCTGAACTTTGAAAATCTTTTCCAAGAATTGTTCCTGTAACCTAGAACATAAAATATTAAATAAAATCACTTCTCCATCCTGGGACTACATGCTGTTAAAACACAACAGATGTATTTAGATACAAGATGGCTTCCTTTTATCCTTGTTCAAAGTCTAAACAGTTAGAATTTGCAGGTGCTCTGCAACTGCAAGGTCCAGCCACCTGCCTCACGTATCGTCCTCCCCACAGCATGTAGTCAGCTGTAAAAACTCTCTATCTTGGCATCTCATTTACCTCTCTTTTCCTTTGCTTGCCCTATTTCTTCCTATCTAGTAAATTAAGTGGGAGAACTGATCCATGTTAAAACTAACTCAGGAAAAAAATTACTGCCTTGTTTTGGTATGGATGGTTTCCCTATCCAGTTCCCTGCATAGCTTTAAGAGCAGTGGTGCTAAGAAAGAAGGTGGTGTTGAGGTCAGGAGCCGTATCCAGGGATTGCGGGAGGGTAAGGCCATTTGTTTCATTAGCAGTTCTGACTTAAAAGTGCTTGTGTAACACGGTACAGTGTCACAAGCAGCTTAGGCTGATCAAAGGATGCATTTTATCGTTACAGCTGTTTTGATCTAATGATGAACTCCTGCAGAAGAGTGCAGTTTCTTTCCCCCCTCCTTCACTGCTGTACCACCCAGTGAGCTGCCCAAGGTCACAGGTTCCTGCTACCCCCTTCCCACCTCTGTCCCACTCTCACCTGGCATCATACCCAGTAATCGTGACAGCAGAGAGTCTATTCAATCAGCTAACTGGAAAAAAATGATGGAAAAATTGTTGGCGGGGGAGGGCATGTAAAGTCAGCACAGCCAACTCCCTTGTGGCCAGAGATTGTTAAAGCTGATGCATGGGTGTTAATCTTGCCAGTACAGATTTTGGTATGACCAGCTTCCTGAAGCGAGTCCTGCCAGCCGCATGGAAGTCAATGCTGGTGTAAAGGCAAAGGTAGGATCGTGCAGGTAGAAGTGTGAGGGAGGGTAGGACTGTGGCAGCCCTAAATTCAAACAGTTTAAACTACCATGAAATATATATGCAGAAAAAAAACCAAATACAAGCATTTTTTTATCTCTTTCACATATACTAAAGAAATACACAGTACTACAGAAATAAAACATAAAAGAAAATACCAAGAAGTACTTCTGCATTGTCTATATTTTAGACAATAAAAGGCTAGTTTGTTTTTTTCTAGCTTTTATTAGTTGTCTTACAACATTACAGCTACAACAAAAGGCACAATAATATGAACTACGCTGTTTTTCAGCCTGTGGTATCTCACCCTCTTTGAGGTCGTTGTACTGCTTGGGAGGGATCTGGGAAAACGGCCAGGAAAGGCAAGCTCGTTACCAGTAGACTTGCATTTGCCACGTGTATGCACACTGGAGAATGCTTATTGGTCCATAAATAAAAAAGTTGAAAACCACTATCAAATATTTACAGACAGTACAGTGTTCCTGCAAGGAGAATCAAATTCAGTACTGTTGAGGTGGTATAGATGTCCCAGTTGCTGAGTCATCAGCAATAAGTTGCTTTCCTTAGCAGGCTCAGCAAGAAACAGTATTGGATTCAGCTTAGGTTGTACTGTCTCAAATCAAATCAAATCAAAGGGAATGTATTTATTTACAAATTATCTTCATTTCGCTTTACTAGGTATCATAAAAATAATATTGTACAATTATTTCTACCTGACATTAGCACTTTTTGTTGACCAACAACGTAGAGTTATTTTTGAGAAGCCTATTAAGTTGATGTTACAAATCGGGTATTAAGACATTCATATTTTTCTTTTTAGAGGGTGCACCTGTTCCAGGTAAACAGTTGCAGGCCAGTTTTCTCACCTATAAGATGGAACGGTAATATCTAAATGGGTCTCTCCCTGTTTGCCTGCCAGAACATCAGTTTGTTCGTTGGGCATTTTGGGGTAGGACTTGCTTCCCTACTGTGACTGTTCACTTTCGTCTCACCCAGACCTTTTAGTCCACTTCTCTGGCAAAGCTCTGGTTCCTCTAAATAAAATAATCCCTGTATGTGAATTCTCCACTAGTTTTTCCATGGGCCTTGAAAAGGAAGCCTAAGCCTTCAAACTTCTTTCTCAGATGCCAGGAAAGTCTGTCCCTGCAAAGTGCTGCTGATTAAGTCTTGCTGTACAAGACTTAAGGAGAAGGAAGAAGGGAGGGCAGATGTAGGTAAATACAAATCATCTTTACAAAAAGAAAACTAGAAAAGTCCTAAAAGTTATGTTCGTACTGACATGCCAGACTCTCTCCTGGTGCTGGTAAAAGGAGTTACACCTATGTAGCATTACTATTGAAAAGTCTGTGAGAAAATTGTCCTTGAAACTATTAAAATGAAATGCCTTTGGTCTTTGTAAATGACCTAATGGGTTATCTTAATTTCAGCTGCCTATAACAACATTAACATCTCATGATTTAGGTGTAGTATTACTACAGTTGGTCAGTGTAGTTAAGGTTATGCCAAAAGTACTTTAAAAACTTTGAAGAACCTGAGGTCAAAACCACAGGGGAGAGTTACCTTTTAATTTTATTGATTTATGTAACAAAGGAGAATCTTTCTGATTATCTGAAAAATGATATATGGCAATGATCTTTCAGGTCTGAAAAACATTTGATGAAACAACTACATAGAGAAAAAAACACATTCTGGTCTACTTTCCTCTCCCTCCACAATCAAAAACACATCTGAGGTTTATTTGAGCTAAATAATAAAAATTCAGAGAACTAAAGCAGCAGGTGGGGAAAGGGCAGAACAGCTGAAACAGACTGATATTAAACGTTGCCAGATTTTAATCTCTTAAACAGAGGCCACTTTTGCTTTCAGCTTAAAAAAAATAGTGACTTTATACTCACTAAAGGAAAAAGGCATAGGAAGATTGTTGCACACTATTGAGATTAAATATAAATCTAGTTTCATGGCTCAGGCTGACTAATAAGAGAAGGGAGTGGAGGTGCAATGATTGCTTTAGCTAAAGCAAAGTAACCAATTCACTTTTTCTTTCAATAATGTTACAACACTGTTTGTGGGAGGCTTGGGGTTTATTTTCCGAAATCGTTTTCCAAATAAAGCTGATTCTAACTGAAACATTAATGACTTAATAAATCATCATGTGCCTTCTAGCTGTATGTTCTCTACAAGCTGCTTGCATGCTAATTATGGTGTTGTTAGAGCTGCTGAGATAGTTTTTAGCTGCTCTCTAATGGCATCTTCATCATTTAGTAGTAAAAGAAGGAAAAGTGCCAGTAATGTAAGTAATACCTTTCGAAGAGACTAATGAGAGTTACTTCTGGATTTAAAAACAGACCCACAAGAAAGAAAAAAAAAAAAACAGGGCAACTTCAAGGTAATCAAGAAAGGGCTGAAAGACATCTAAGATAAACGTGAAGCTTTGTAGTGTTAGAATATCAACTTTTGAAGTAATTTAAATCACATTTAATTTTAAAAGGCGCATTTTCAGTAGTACTCTCATGGTTAGGGTGTGGCTGGCATTTATTTGGAAAAATAAATTAATATGTAAGTGTAAGTCAAAACACAGCTAAATCACTGAAGCTTTAGACAGCTGGCACATCTTTCATTATTGGTCCTGTAAGAAGATCCTTGAGTAAGTTTACAGGAAGGAGACTTGTTCTTTTTTCTATGTTCAGGTGGATACCATTCACATCAATGGCCTTCATTCAGTGGATCTCCATAACTCCATCCGTGCAAAAAGCTTTCAGGGTCAGAATTTAAGTGCATATCAAGTTTCCAATAAAAGAACCAACTGTGTTGTATTTGTGTACAAGCCTCAAAGTGCTTGTTAAAAGGCAGAAAAAGTGATTACTCAAAGAAGGATTAGGCACTTTTCCCTGCTTTTTGTGCAGACACTTATTACTGTCATTTCTGTACAAAATATACCAACTTCAATAACATTAGGCAGGAGTTGCATTGAAAGGGATTCTTTCGTATTTCTAAGATTATCTGCCCAGTAGGGCCATGTCATGAACCTCGAGAGGTTGGATTACCTGCTTCCAGGATAACTAGATCTTCTAGAAATGGAATACAAGTGATAGATAGTAATGACCATGCTGTATTCAAGATAAAGGAATGGAGGTCTTGTGGGAGTAGATTTTGGGGTTGGCTATGCTACAAGACTTTTTTAGTATCCTAAGCTCACTGACCCTCATCACTTCATTCTACCAGTTTTAAAGTGAGATAAAATGCTATCTACTCTGCAAAAAGTTTTAGCAATATTTTTAATTTGGCAACATTTTATTAACATCTTAATATTCTCCTATAACATAGTAACATTTTAATATTTGGCATTTAGTACGTACTTTGAGTTTTTACATTTAAAGAACTATGAGCTCTCCTATTTAAGGAGCTGCAAACACTGTTGTCTCAAGCACTCCTATTGCCAGAAAAAATTCCTTGACTGCAGCACAGTGAATATTTAGTAAGCTGAAAATTCTTAGGACATCACAGGATTTGCTTGCTGCTAAGTGACGTATTTAATATTCAGAACAATCAGGAACAATTCTTTAATTCTTTATGTTAGGCAGTGCTCAGATGCCTGACATATGTAAATTCTACCTAAAAGTATTTCAATTTAGAATAATTTAAACACAAGGAATATAAAATTCAATTCATTTAGTTGTCATCTGGGTTAAAAGACATTCAGATGAGGAATTTTGCTAAACAACATTGCTACTCGTGTGAGAAACGTGAATGAAAGATATCGTAAGCTTCAGACCTCTCCCACCAAGTTTTCATCTGAAGTTAAGCTTTAATCTCTAGCTTCTCTAGGAAATCACATAGGAATGATTTCTACTCAAAATTCCATGCACATACATGTTCACTATTCCTGTCTGCATTCCTGTTGCATGGAACTCTGCATGGAACAGGTTGACCAGCAGATGTCACCAAATCACAGTTGCAACTTCACAAGTCTTCAACAAAAAAATCCCCCACACTTTTGAACTTTTCAAAGCATGACACACTAGAGTCCTTGAATATTCTCATTGCTTATTTACATTCATATAAAAACTGTGAAGTTCTGATCTAGACAATGGTCCACGTGCTTCTGACAAAAGGCAGTGTGTAGCACCTTCATTGTCACTGAAGAGTAACTGCCTGGGTAACAGATCACACCTTTCACGATACACTATCTATTGACTGACAATCCCTTGTTGAAACTTTTATTTTCAAAACCACCCTAGTATTTTTTCCTAAAAGAGCAATCTTCCCACAAATATCACTTTTTGTTGTAAGTTCAGACAGAAAATAGACTTTAAAATAAAACAAGCAACTCCCCCCCCACACACACACACACACCATTTTCCAATACTGGTTATCAATTATTTTGACTTGCGCATTCCCAACCTCACAAACTGCATTTTTTGGCATGCCAAACAGCACTTTTACACTTCTCCCTAAACTATTTTAGAGATGAGGAGCTTGTAATAGGTTGCATATGGAAGAGGTTGAGTTGTGATGAAGGAGAGAAGAGAGGCATGTAAGACAGACTATAAGCCATGCTCTAGCTGTGTTGCACAATGCTTTCCCTCCCTCCAACATCAGAAGTTTAGCTTCATCTAATTTTGCTTACAACAGTCTAGAATAGCATGTAGGAGCAAGGTGACAAGCGATTGCAGCTTGATATGGAACCTTTCTACCTCTCCCTGGAGGGCTGAAGGGATCATCTAGCATGCCCCATCTACCTCCTACCCTGCCTTCCGGAGATTTCAGAGAAATCGACTAAGCTATGTTGACACTTCTGAATAGAAGGGCTGTTAAGTGCTGGGAAATAGAAAGGTTGTCTTTTCCCCAGAAAGCTCGTAGAAAAGTCCTTTGGAGACTGGGCTTCCTTGCTCAACACATACATCCCTCTTCCTCCGAGAGGCTCTTTATTACGGTCATACTTGCATTTTGTGTTCATAGATAAAATGACTGTTTTAATCCTCAACTCTACATACAAGAAACTCTGAAGTGAATGGAAAATGGGTAATTTCCACACCCAGTCATGGTTGTCCAATCCGGTGACTGGAATGCCAGATTTCTGAAAGCGTTCCCTACATGAAGTTTTACTTCTTAACATGGTTGACAATCACCGTCAGAAGAATCAATTACTATCTGACACAACTACAAATAAAAGCATTAAAACACATACTCATGAAGTTCAATGAGACTGCACAAAGTCAGATAACTTGCATTAAAAGTTTATCAACTTCAGAAACATGTATTTATAAAAAATGAAATTAACACAATTACATATTTGCAAATTTTGTATTACACAGGTAAAGACAGTGTTTTGTTTTGTACATTGAATTGGATTACATAAGTATTTCTACAGTTTAAAAATCTTACAAGTATATGGTTACAAAACAAACAAACAAAATGCTATTACATATGAATAGGACCCCAAAGATAGTATATCGTAAGTATGGTTGTCCTGATGCAATGATATCAGGTATTTCCAGGCAGAGCAGAATTTACTCAGCAGACAGTAAATATACTGTATGATGCCAGAACTTGCTCTGCCTAATATTTTGGCTCATTGGCTGACCAGCGATTCATATCAGAAAAGTACTGAACCAGGGATACTCATTTAAAACAAGGAATTATTAAAACCTATTAAAATATCTGTTATCTCCAACAGATTCTGAAATTTAAGTACTGCACATGCTTTCATTTATGTTTACAACACCTTTTACAGTGGGAGCAGAGATCAAGCGACTGATATTGTGCACGTCCGTCTCTCTCACAGAAGAGCCAGAATTTCTTGCCTTGATTTCTCTATATATGACCCTAATGTTACATCTCCTGATTAGGGCAAATTCCCTTAAGGATATATTATAAATCTTATTTTATTGTCTTCATAAACAAAAAAATTATTCTGTAATGTCTTTGTTTAGGTTCTTAAAGTTGTGACCATTTAACTGAAATGAAATTAAAAGTGACACGTATAAACTTTGTAAAGGTAACCAACAAAAGAAGTTTATGGTATGGATTCAGACTCAGGAACTAAATAACCTCTACTCCTGTTTTAGAAATTGCAAAAAAAAACTACTACAAGTCTTGTAAACATTGTTAGAGATAAAATCATTATTAACAGTACTTTTGAATTAGGAAAGTTGTTTAAAAGGTTATTAAAATAGATATCCTCTCTTTATGAAAATTCATGAATGGTATAATTTCAACGTAAGCATCAAGTCCTTGGTTCTAGGATACCTGCCCCCAAAATATTTGAAAAGAAAGCTTACAAGCACCTTCCTAATGCATATCATTAATGCTACAGTTTGTTCAGTGCTGATAATACATTAAAACCAGATTTTATTTTGCACGCAACTACAAACCAAGTAGCAATTTTAATAATGGAAAAATTATTAGAGATTTACAGAATAGGGCAATATGCTTTGCCCTAGAACAGAAAAGAATGATGATCTGACAACCTGATCCAAGAAACTGACCAGGAAGTTTTATGGGGTATATTCATTAGTGATTGTAGCATCACACTTAGGGTTCTAGATTTCTTCTTTTTATGTATTTAATTTTAAACCTTTTATGATAGCAATATGAGAGACAATTGCTAGTCAGAATTTGGGGTATTCATAAGACTCTTCTCCCTCATTAAACTAATTTATTCCTTTTTTCTTTTCTCATACCCATTGCAATATTAGTGGCACCTACCCATGCAGTTCCAAACTAGCAAGTGAGGCTCCTATGAAAGCCAAATTAATATTATACCATGCCTATTACTTAATGCTGTGCATTTCAGATATGTGGGATACCATACCCGTATCAGTTGGACAGTTCCCTGATAGCAATCATTGCAGACACTGGAATCAGAAGTTACATGTATGTATGGAGTGGCTTTAAAAAAAAAAAAAAAAGCCGCATTTCTTGATCATCTTTACCTAGAGTAAACCAAATTATTTGCATAAAAGTCTACATTATTTACAAGTCAACAATACAATTAAAAGAAAAAAAATACACATTTCAGCCTCTCAGTTAAGCACCAGTACTGACTAAAAGAGCAATGCCTCCAAGTCAGAGTATTAGTATTCCCCGTCACAAGTGAATTATGATGTACTTTTAGAAGTTTCTCTTTTCCGTATAGGTTATATCCACAACTTTTTTTTGTTCACATCTATCCTACGCGTTCTGAGGAGATTAGTAATAGCAGCAGTTTTATAAAAGGTGCAGGTATCACAGACAGCTTTCACAGCATAATCAGTTCAGATCTTTTTAAGAGAAAGGGCCATAAAATCCACTGATCTGGATTGCAAAGTTTACCAAGAGTTCATTAAACAAAGTCTATATACAACCCACATGAGAACAAACGGTTGAAACAGACTCAGTTTCTGTGTGCAAACAACAGGTAGTCCAACAGTGCCATATGTCCACATTTAATTCGGAGACAGCGGGGAGCCCGTTTTTCCTCAGCATCAGTGAGTTATGCCAGCCACGTCATCTTGGTTTAGAGTAACCATAAGGACACTGAAGAATTAGGCTGTCATGACTAGGTAAGACATGAGTGCTGTAGTATTCAACCAAACTTCCCATGTTCAAAAACATGATTTCTGCATCCAGGTAAAACCTGCAATCCTGTTGTAGAACAAAAACATATGTAATCGTTCGCAGAAATTTTTCCTACTCACGGTGTTAGGAAAGTTTTTCAGGCGTTGGAACTGAGGAGCCCTTTCAAACAAGCAAAAAGGCAACAATAGCCTTGCAAGCTATTCATTCATGCACATGTAAGTCCATAGTGGACTTGGGTATTTAATAGTCCTTCCTTCAGGATTTGACTGGAGCTGAAATTTGGAGCTGAAATTTAGATCTGAACACTACAGCTACTTCATCTTTTGCACAATATAGCAAATGAAAAGCTCAGATCTGAGTACTCAAACTCTCATCCTAGAGCAAATGTTTGTAAATCAATTTATTTTTACTTTTGGAACTAGGAAGCTAGACTTTGACTTGTTAGTTCTGGTACACACACACACACACTTCCTATCTAGTACAGCTACTAACCTTTTCAAAGATTCTGTAGTTTCTCACTTTTTCTGCAGATTCATCCCATACAACCAATACCTTGAAAAATAAAAATGCAGCATGGTCAGTCTATGTTAATAAGCCTTTGTAAGTCAATGCATTGTTAAGGAATTAGTTATAATCAGTTGACCAGCCTATACAATTTTCACTCAAATTATGATAGCGATTGCCTTAGATTTCCTTGCTTTTAAGAAGTCAAGCATCTAAATTGTTAAGTACTTTACCATACATAAGATACAATATCTCTAAATCAAGACTGTTAGCTGCCGTATTTTTTGGTAGATTCAGCTATTGCAAGTTACCTTTCCAGGCTTAGTAGATGAGTTCCTAATACAGTATAATCCATTTTGTGGTTGTCCTCTTGGGCTAGTAGCTTTAAATGCCCTAAAAATACAGCAATGACTTATGTTAGCATTTTCTGAATCAGATAAATAGGATGCATAGAGTCTTAAAGTTTTTAGTACTATCTCTATTTCTGTCATACTAATTCATAGCCTATCATATCTGACAGAACTTTATTGTTCTAGAATCTGAACTTGCAATGCAGTTCTGAAAAATCTGGCTTTCTGTCCCATCTAGCACCCTGGCACAACAACCTTTTCCAGATGGAACAATCACTTTGGAAGTACAACGCACGCTCAACTGATACATGAGCGCTGAATTAACTCCCCTAAAAAGCAATTTTCATAACATCGGGGGATTAAAATACTACTCTTGTTTCTAAACACAAGTTATGCCTCCCACAAAATGATTTTTCTGGACTACTGCTCAGCAGTTTTTTGTAGGATTTTTAAGCAACTGTTGTAAAGTTACATCTACCTTTCAACTTCGAAGGATTCAGAGGTATTAAGAAATACTGAATTAGGTAGCTCGACCTGTAAGAAAATACAAGTTAAAAAAAAAAAAATCACTATATGTAAGAGAAACTCAAAATGCTAGCAACTTTTTATGCAAATATGTCACAGCCATCACTATCTGAATTTGTTAATGGTGCATTAATATGTACTTTATGCTTCTTTCTTCTATAAGAAATATTAAAATCTAAGATTTGTCAAGGCATTCTTTAAAGCTGAGAATCATGCAGTACTCCTTTCATAAAGTTCCCTTTTCCCACAAGAGGCACTTGAGGAGCCCCCTTGAAGTATTGATAAACAAGAAAAATAATTGTCTTTGAGAAAGGACCATCTGCTTGATCTTACTTTTTCATAGTCCTCATCAGAATCATCAGCAGGTTGGTTTGGCTTGGCAGGTAGTGCTGGTTTTTCAAATGAAAAGCTTCTGAAACTCTGCCCATCTGGTGGTGATCTCCTGGCAGAAACAGAACAAAAACTGAAGGACATGTCTTCAGGAAAACAAAACAAATATACGCAAAACACTGAAGGGATAATAAAAGTAGAACTGAAGAGCAAGTTTCAGTTTAGGGCTTATCTCAGAATAACAGAATAATTTAGGTTTGAAAGGACCTCGGGAGGTGGAAGGAGGTTGGGACCTCTTATTTAGTCCAACTTCACGTTCAAAGCAGGTCCTACTAGATCGGGTAGTTCAGGGTTGCGTCCAGTCAAGTTTTGTGCATCTCCGAGGACCAAGATTCCATAGCATCTCTGGGGCAACTTCTGCTGGTGCTTGACCACCCTCATGGCAAAAAGTTTTTCCTAGTATTTAGCTGCAATTTTACTGGTTGTGACTTGTCTGTTGCCTTTCATCCTATCACAGTGCACCTCTGAAGAGGGTCTCACTTTGCTTTTCCTCATACCCTCCCCGTTAAGTAGTTGTAGACAGCAGCAAAATCTCCCATTAGCCTTTCTTAAGGTTAAGCAAATCCAGTTCTGTCAGCCTCTCCTCATGTTATATGCTGCAAGCCATCAAACATCGTGGTGGCCTCCACTGGACTCATTTCAGTAGATCAACATCTTTCTTGTACTGTCTTTAACAGGGTTTATTATTCATTCTTCAGAACTGCTGTGCAATCTGATAGATGAAGATATCTTCATCTGCCTCACCACTATAGCTAGTCCCAAATCCCTTACTAAAGGGGATCTCATCATAACACAAAACATACATTTCCTGTCTCGATCGAAGGCCAAAAGTCTTTTTGTAGTTCACTTAAGTTCTGACATAAAGGCTTCTTACTCACTACAATCAAAGGTTTTTAAGTCTTCAAGACATACCCTCCAAAAAAGAACGACTGAATTTTAGTGTATTTATTTTTTTAAAAAAAAATCTAGTTTGCCTACTATTTCTTTTTGAACCGTTTCAGAAGCTAAACTGGTTGCAAAGTCTTCAAATACCAAATACCAAGGCAAAAGAGCACAATACAAAGGGGAAGAGAGGAACGGTGCAGGGAAGAGGAACAGTCATTGTTGTAGATCTGATAAATAATCGGTCTGTCAACTGGCTAACAAATATGCAGTGGAAAATTTGATGCAGGACTGTAATTTCATACTTACTGTAACTGGGGACATAAAGACTTCTCTGGTCTAGGCTTGAATCCTGGCACAGGGGGCTGGTGGGCTGGCACAGGGGGCTGGTGGGCTGGCACAGGGGGCTTTGGAAGTACTGGTGGTATAAACAGTCCAGGTTTACCATGTTCCCTTGGCACTCTGATGTCTGCTGGCTTTTCAGTTAACTGTGACAGCTTAGGTTTACTGCTTGGTAACGGAGGAGGAGTTCGTGGTGAAAGGTTTAAGTTCTTTAGCTTCTCGCATCCTTCTGGAGTAGTGAGAACATGAGGCAGAGGCTCTGAGGGCAACGAGCACGATTCTTTGATACAGACAGGCTTTTTGAGAAGAGGTAGAGGGGGTACAGGAGGTGGATGTTCACTTAGTCTCCAGCCAGAGTGCTGAATCTTTAGATTAGATTCAGCTCGGCAATGTAACTGGGGTTCTCTCACATTTAAAAGATCCTCTGGTTTGATATCAGGTAAGCCTCTTTTAGGAGGTGGTGGTAGTACAGGCCCAACAGATTTGCCAGCAAAGGAATGGGCTCTTGATTCTGAGAAGGCAGCTTTTCTGACGTGAGGAACTGGTGGAGGCGGGTAGGCCGGGGGCAGGACCATGATATCTACACAAAGAACACACAGCAAAAACATGGCGCACAGAGGAGAAATAAAAATTTGAAAAGTCTTGTTTCTTTACGTGCTTTATTTTCTATGCCATTTAAGATACTTCATCGGCATTTGTTCTGATAGCACCAAAAATGATGGGTAAATATTTAACTTGCAACACAATTCTGAATGTTGTAAGTAGTAAAATCCTGCAACCTTTACTCAGGCATGGCTTATGTTGACTTAGCAAGGAATTTTGTCTACGTTAAAAATAAAGAGACTACATTAAAAGCATTATTCCCTCCTCCTGGCTGATGACTAGATACAGGTCCTTCTGGGCAGGAGAGCTTCCAGAAAACATGCCATTAAGAAATGTAACACTTTCTGTAAATTTTTACTGCTATTACTAGGCACTTTTGACACCAAATATCTCAAGATTAGATACCTGTGCATCACTTAATTATTTTAACCATCTGCAAAGCTTTAGACATGGCTAAGCCAAAAGAATGATTTGGCGTTCTACAGGAACATAACCCCTATTGGTGGCCTTTTGTGGGGGGAATTAAAAAAAAAAAAAAAAAAACCAACAACCCATTTTTCC